CACAGTACTGTATTCCTTTAAGAGCAGGGGCGGGCCTCGTCCGGCCCGCGGGCCGGACGAGGCCCGCTAAATCATTTGGTGTGGCCCTGTCGAGGCAACCGCAGGCGGGACTCGAAATTCAATAAATCTAGGAGCAAACCTGGAAAAGCAGTTGCGAGTAGCAACATCACCAATACCAGCTAACACCACACGTCTCACCAAAGAGAAGCAGTTCCAACCATCACATTAGGGGTGAGTTAATTAAATGTTTGACCAAATATAACAGGGTAATTTTTAAGTTGATGATTTTGTATGGCCCACGAATGATGTTTTAAATATCCAAATGGCCCTTGGCAGAGAAAGGTTCCCCACCGCTGCTTTATAGACTCGTCACTCAGATGACAAAGTGTCAGTCGCCACATCGGGCAGTCACTGTTCATTTCCTACAAGATGGTACCTGTTTTATTGACACCGTGGGGATGATGGGCTTCACAAAGAGGGGACTTGAAGATGGGGAGAGCTCACACCAACGTGGTGCGATTGGTGTGTTGACATCGCCCTTTGACACCGCAACAAACGATTTGGCACAGTGGATTGGCAATAGCTGCGATGATCCACTGCTGGATGAAGGCCTCCCCAGGTCGTCGCCATCCATGGGGCTTCGAACTCGCGTTGAGCGGCCTGAAATACTCGCTCAGTCCGAACATGTTCACAAAACGAGAGCTGTGTAATCGTTGAACCACATTTCCCTCTTTAAGCGCCAATACAAGTTCTCCCCTCTGTCGATTTGGGCTCCTCTGAAAGTGACGCTCATTGGCTGATGCAAGTCCCACTGGTGGAGGGGTTCATGGCAGCAATTTGGCCCAAACATGACGTGGCCGAACCTAAGAATTAATTACAAATCATAATACTGACTGTGGGAAAAAAGGTAATAAGTTCCACTGTGTTGTAGAATGTATGTCAATCTGTGTCAAAACCCATCACTCACAAGGATACATCACTTTTCTCATTCTACTATTGAGCATGAAGCTAATGTCGAGGTCTGCGGCTCGCCACGACAAGAAGGCTTCAGGAGACAGAGTTGGTGTCGTTTTTCTGTTCCTCGTCCACTGAAGGAGCCCAACCCATTGTGGTTTATTAGACTGTATATGGCCCAGAGTTGTCACTTATTAATGTGCATCAATAAATCCAACCCGTATTTGTTTTTAGGTTAGGGCCACGCACTAGATTTATGCCAAAATAATTCTCATTAACCCTCCACAACCCGACAAGATGGTCACGTTTATACAAAAGTTATTTATACGTGGCCAGTGTAGTCATAACATCCTCACCGATGAAGCTCTTCCTCACCGATGGCTTCGGACTTTTCACGACTGAATTCAACATCAACGTGCAACGACGTTTCGCTCCCACTGCTGAGCCCTCCATCAGGAAGTGAGCACGAGGGTGGAGATGAACCAACCCACCCCTCTCACCGCCGCTCAGTACGACTCCTCAGTTTACCGGATGTCTGGGCAGGAATCATGGGTCACAAGTTACACAGTCAGGTTTTATTGCCACTAGATTTGGGCAGGAGCGCATGTAACTTTTGCACCCGCAGTTATCAAAGTTCACTTGGGAAATAAGGGAAATGGATTTAAACGGGTTCTCACTCGGTGAATTAAAGAACCTAGGTGTGTATGTGTGTAGGTCGACTCAGCATCATGAGTACCTGGTGCGGTGTGTAAACATCGCCACTCGGAAGACAAAGGCGGCCGGACGTGGTGCTGGCCACCTATCCCCTCGTGTGCCGTGCCCGTCTTCATAGATGCCCGTTAACAGCACTTCCCTCAACAGTGTGTTAAAGCTACACGGGGGATTTTTGTATTTTTCCTGTATATAATGAAAATTCTACATCATGGGACCTCCTTTGCTCTCATTACTCTGATGGTGCATTGTCTTTGGGCTGTACGCCCTTTGGCGTCCTCTGGTCTAACACCGTTTGAGATAAAGAAAGCTGTCTGGTGTGGACCAATCACTTTCAAAGACAATGCATATATTATAATATATGCATAATTATCAGAGTACGTTTTTTTTTGCATTTTGACCACAAGTACTGTGGTTAATGCAGACGTGATTCCTTGTAAAAGGTTTCGGTTTGGTGTTTTAACAAGTTAACACCTGTTTTGTTGCCAGATAAAAGGGGAAACCCTATTCTCATAATGAAAATTCATGAATGTTGTTCTAAAAATGTGCAGTTATATCTTGAGTTAAAATACTGAACGGGCGAGTTGTGGTGCAGTGGTTAGTAGAACAGGCTCTGAACCCAGCAGCCAGAGCTCACGTCCGGGCCATGGCTAACGTGAGTGGCGAGTGATTATTGATTATGGCGAGTGATTATTGATTATGGCGAGTGATTGCTGAACTGGTGCCGGGGCCGGCACCCCCACCCCCTTACCAACCCATTCTGACCAGCGTGGTGAAGTATGGTCACACAAACCCCCGAGAACAACACAACACAGGGAGGCCCAAATGCCGCGGTGGACTGTCAACGGGCTCTCAGTTGTTACCATATTGCAATACAATCTAGACACTATGGATGTGGGTAATTGAAACAGTAACACATTTGCACGTGTGCAACTTGACGTATGTTCTTTGTCGTCACTGGACATATGAAAGAATGAACTTCTTCGCTCACTTGGGGCCATACCCGCACTCGTCTGACTGCCTGACTTCGTCACCTGTGAGACGACCGCTGCCTTTGCTCCCTTTGCTCTCTCACGTGGAAGACAAGAGGCGCCGTTTGCGGCATATCGTTCATAATCAGAAACCAACAACATCGAGAGCGCGTGCTGAAATTTCAGTAGCCGGATTTCATTTCATTTTCCTTAGCGTGGCAATTATTGTACAACAAGGGGACGACTCTGAGCAAACGATGAGAGACACGACGTGGCGTGGACACGCGGCTCGGGAACGTGCCCACATCCCGGTCCGCCCTGTGCATGCTGAGACACTGCTGTTGCTGCTGGGTGCGCTTTGTAGCGCGCTCCTATAACTCAACTAAAAACATTATCTTTTATTTTAACAGATAAGGCCCACTGGGCTATGTAGCTGTTTTTTCAGAAGCGACCTGGCCACAACTTCAAATCTAGAATCACAACCGATAGCGCAACGAAGTGGTTTATCACGTGGACATTTATAGCAGCCAAATACTCTGAACGCGTGGTGCTGATTCTCAATGTGGAGGGGAAAAAACCCGGAAGACCCGGAGAAAATATCCACGCCGACCACGGCATCAGGGTCAGAATCGAACCCACGACCTCATGTGTACCAGGCGAGGTAGTTAACATCTCGCCATCGTGCGCTCGACTACGCGCTCACAACCAGCACCGCACGCACCACCACGGAGGGGCTGGAACGGCCACGGTCTTGCCCGCCAGCCCACCATGTTGACCCCTGCCAGTGGTAAAGTGTGAACTCGTTTAGGATGAGTTAACCTAGAGGAAGACCAGATTCAATCCAACTAACCGATGTCAGCGCATAATGCGGTCGCGTCTTTACGCGTTGCTGAAACCGACGCGTCACCTTGGTGAATGACTAAAGCGTCTGGAGCGCCGCCGCCTCTGAATATTACTGAGACTCGCCAAGTCCTCCCTCTATGCCTTGCTGACATGGAGGATGCCCAGATTCATGAACGACTGATTTCACATCACGCGAAGACGTGGTCACCAAGCTGTCAAGCTGGCACAAAATCCCATTGGCCGTAAATCATTTGCGATGAGCTATAAAGACAGAGGGATAGATGACCTCTATGTATTAGCAGGTAAGTGCTCATTGGAGGGCAGGAGGAGCGGTGGTGCAGTGGTTAGCGCACTGCACTATTGAACCTTGTTGCCTGAGTTCATCATCCAGCCACGGCTGACGTAGAGTCGCGATGTGTCTGGGAGTGACCCGCACGGTCCAGGAATCGGCGTCCGTGTCCGGGTGGCAGGAATTGATTTTCACCGAGAGTTCATTCCACTTACTGTGTTGAAATGTATCATTGCACTGCACTGTACTGTACAGTTTTGGCAATGAACCTCGTGATGAGTGACACTCATCTCTGGGGTTGCTCTGTGGAAAAGGTGACAATACCACTTAGATGCCAGTGGCAAGGCACACACGAACAGAATCAGAATATTAATATATATACTGGAGGAATCCGAAGAGCGATGAAGCTCTTTTTCACCGACTGGTGCACTGCCTTCACCAACCTCGTCCTGACCAGGGTGGTGAAGTATGGTTAAACAACTTTTATTGCCAAAAGGTTGTCATGCAGCAGTGGGTTGGCAAAGGGTCGCAAATGCTGAGCTTACAAAGCCACACGATCAGGAGTCTCTCGTCTAAGAGACAAAACTTAACAAGAAGACAGAGTTTCCTTCATATATATAGAGATCAGTCCCTCTACATACACACTCGCCAGCCATAAGGCCATCTGGGAGTGAATCATTCCAGCAGCGATGGATCAACACGAGCAAAACCCCGGGGCGATTTTGACCTCCCAGTGTCGAGTCAGCAGAGACAATGCCAACTCGCGTGGTCTGTCATCTTGGCGAGGAGATGTCAACTCCCTCGCCTGATGTGCACGAGGTCGTGGAGACTAACCCTGACGCCTGCTGCTGCTGCTGTATATTTGGAGTTTGGGTGTCTCTCTCTCTCTCTCGCCGTAGTCACTGCGTGGATTTCCCTCCGGGTCCTCCGGGTTTTCCCTCCACATTTAGAATGAATGTCCCACGTTTAGAGTAGTTTTGGCCGCTGTATATTTGCCCGTGATAAACCACTTGGTTTAGCCATCATGTGTGGCCAGGTCGCTTCAGTAAATAGCTTAGTGGGCCTTACCTTGTAAAATACAAACATTGCAGTTGTAGTTTATATTCTCTACGAGGTTCCATGACAATGACGTTACCGGCTGCAGAAATACAAAACAACAAGCGGATACACATCGAGAGCAGCTGCTAAAACACGCGGCAGTCAAAGAGAGACGCGGCACTTCCACGTAGAACACGAGAGCGCCTCAACTCACATCGCTGCGAGCTGTCGGTAATAATCGTTGCGTGTCAGCAACCACCCCCTTGGTGGCTGTGGCTCAGATTGCCTGGCCCCAGTGTTTAATAGACACGACGATGACTGTTTACTTCGCGTGATGCAGCAGCAGCTAATAGACTGCGAATTGTGTGCCGGGCGGGTGGCTTGCAGGACAGATGAATAATAACGATGATGATGATGATGACTGAACGCTGAGATGACACCAGCACCTCGGCGCTGCTTCACAGAGCCCGCGGCCATGAGGACATGAGACACTGGGAGACACAGCGGAGTGTGCAGAGAGACACAGATAGACACGCGGGAACACAGGGAGACACAGAGTGACACAGAGAGACACAGATAGACACGTGGGAACACAGGGAGACACAGAGTGACACAGAGAGACACAGAGTGACACCGACACTGAAAGACACAGACACAGAGAGACACAGACGCAGAGAGACACAGACACAGAGAGACACAGAGAGACACAGACGCAGAGAGACACAGGGGAAGACACTGGGAGACACAGGGTAGACATTGAGTGAGACAGACACAATGGAGTGGTAGACAGTGAGTGAGACACACAGAGAGACACTCGGACAGAAGACACCCATTACGTCTGACTGGGACGAAGCTTTACAGAGATAAACGACTTAGGATTTGAAGACAAATCGTCAAACAGAGAGACATGTGGATATAGGATTGCCACCAGGGCGATAGAGACAGTAGCACAGTGATAAAGAGACCACGGTGCTTTAGGAGACAGGATCTCTGGTTACATGGACGGATAGATGGCGTGAAAGAGAGATACACGGTCGAGACGGACTGATAGCAGAGTGACAGGCACAGGCTGAGAGAGAGGGAGCCTGTGATAGTGACCCAGCCAGACGTGGTGATTGAGAAAGAGTGATAGACACAACGTGATAAAGACATTGAGACATACAGCAGACAAAAGTGTCAAATACACATACACAGTGACACAGTGTGAGACAGACACACACAGTAACATACTGTGAGAGAGACACATACACAGTGACACACACACAGTGACAGGCACAGTGAAAGACACACACAGTGTGAGAGACACACACAGTGACACACACACAGTGACACACACAGTGTGAGAGAGACACACATACACAGTGACAGGCACAGTGAAAGACACACACAGTGTGAGAGACACACACAGTGACACACACACACAGTGTGAGAGACACACACACAATGACACACACACACATTGACACAGTGTGAGAGACACACATACACAGTGACACACACACAGTGAGAGACACACACAGAGTGACACACACAGTAACACACAGTGTGAGAGAGAGACACACACAGTGACATACACATAGTGACACAAAGTGAGAGAGAGACACACAGTGACACACACAGTGAGCGAGAGAGACACAGTGACGCACACAAAGTGAGAGACACACAAAGTGACACACACACAGTGAGACACACAGTGTGAGAGACACACGCACACACAGTGACACACACACACACAGTGAGAGAGACACACAGTGACACACACAGTGTGAGAGACACACACACAGTGACACACACACAGTGAGAGACACACACACAGTGAGAGAGAGAGACACACACAGTGACACACACACAGTGAGAGACACACACACACAGTGAGAGAGAGACACACACAGTGACACACACAGTGACACACACACAGTGAGAGAGAGAGAGACATAGTGACAAACACACACAGTGACACACACAGTGACACACACACACAGTGAGAGAGAGAGAGACACACACACAGTGTGACACACACAGTGACACACACACAGTGAGAGAGAGAGAGACAGGGGGAGGGGCGCGCGTGGCAGGAGCAAGGGGGGTGAGAGCGTCCTGCCGGTGCCAGGCACCACAGCACCACGACCTGCTGCCACTGCCGCTGTTGCTGCCACTGCTGCTGCCGCTGCCACACGCGGTGACAAACTTGGTTCGCACGCGCCCAGCACAGGCCCGAGTGTGACAACAACAACAGCGGCAGCAGCAGCAGCGGGGTCCACGAGGCTGCGAGCGGCTGGGAAGGCCCCCCCCCCCCCCGGTGGAGGTGTCGGGATGAATCCAGGTGAGCACTGAAGTCTACAGCCACTTGGGAAGTCGGTACCTTGTGCATTCTTGTTCTTGAACTTGTTTTTTTTCTGCACGATTGTTTATTTGTGCTGTTGTTGTTGGTGGTGTTTCGAAAGAATGAAATCACGAGGGTTTTCAGTTGGTTTGTGTTTAACCAGGTGAGCAGTGAGGGGAGAGTCTCATGTGCAAGAGTCCCGACAGAGACCTTCTGTAAATCCACTGCTGGATGACGAGGGCCTCACTAGGCCGTGCGGTTGTTTCACCAGACTCTCACCACGATGGTTAGTGAAGACCGTAGATGTGGTGACATAGAACTACAGTACAACAATCAGTTTTTTTGCTGTATAATTATTATGGAGTTGCCACCAGCGTCATTCTCATTGTGAGGTTTTGCTCCTCACGGCATCGTATAGACATCGTTTCTTACGTTGATTTAGCTGTCAAATTGTATTTAGTGTCTATTTGTTTTATCTGTATGCATCTGGAGTTTGTTGTTTAGCTGGATATGCACTCAATACAGCTATCCGCTGGTATCCATGAGTTATAAACTTCTAATTGTCATCATTTTGCCAATCCACTTCTGCACGAACGCCTCTCTATGTTATGTCAATCACTCAAGGTGGGGGTTGTTGTTTGACCATACTTCACTACGCTGGTCATCGTGAAGGGCGTGGCGAGGATTGGTTGATGTATCATGCGAGCCATGTCCATCATTCATCGAGAGCGGGGGTGGGCGACCTCTTTAAGGACTTGCTCGTAACGTTATTCACGTTGCACGGCGCCTCTTAAAACGTTGGAGTGAATTATCGAATTCGCCAAAAATGTCTCTTCTTTACTCTTTGTTTTCTTCGGTAAAGTCACGTAGGTAAAAAATAAATAAAATAAAACATGTAAACAGCTAAATTAAATCACGACGCAGCGGAAGCACAACCGCGTGAGTGTGTCTCAGAGATGGCTGTGACGAGGGGTGATCTTGCTGTGGCGGTTGTGCTTTCACTGCGTTGTCCCCACCTGAAGACGGACGCTTGTGTTGCGCCCGAAACGTCGTGATTTAATTGAGTTGTTTCCATTATTTATTTATTTTATTTTTTACCTACGTGACTTTACCGAAATAAACAAATAGTATATGTATCCTTGCAGTCACGAAAACTTCAAATCTAGAATGTCTCTTCTTGCTCTTTGGGATGCCGACCCCAGATCGAGATTCTAGACAATCTGACGTCTTCCCTCCTAGACACTCATCGAGACCATGGCCTGGACTCGAACTCAGGTGACCGGGTTCATGGTGCAGTGCAATCACCGCTGCTGCTACCTGGCCATAAATCAAGCAATCTCCTCGACCTGCTGCAGCTGCAGCAGCTGCAGCTGCTGCTGCTGCTGCACAGAAGCAGCACGTACACTCGTCAGGGGCAAGGATGCATTCCTGAAATACTCGACACTGTTGCAGTGGCGATGGCCGTGTAAACTTTGTTCGTGAACTTAATTACAACTATTGTCGACAACAAAGTGTTTATCTTATATATATTTGAGTCACCGGTTACTTTGAGTTGACGATAATCATCAAACGTGAAAATGACTGAAATTATCCACCAATATCACCATCAATGATATCACCACCATCTCGAAAACGAAGATCTTAACGTTGATGACTAAACCAAGACATTGACTTGGGAGACTGCCTTGATTCCCACTGTTCTATTGGCCGGGTCTGGATCAACCTAAAAGAAGGTGACTCACTGATCCATGTACCTACTAAGATGTTCAACATCTTCCTGTGTGAGTCCATGCAACAGCCCTGCAGCATGCGCCGTTAAAGCTCCATTGTCCAGGGCGACAGATGAAACGCGCTCATCCGTCCCGTACTCAATGAACTCAGCCCGGTGTCATTATTGGCTGCTCCTCACTCGTCGAGGGTCGGTGACTCGGCAGTCACGTGGATCATCGCAAACGTGGCGAGAAGTAAGCCGCTTGCATTCATAAACGGTGCAAAGTAAACAACTAGAAGCACTCTCCGGCTTCACCCGCAACTCTACGTGGGTAAAATATTAAATTTGTTTCGAAATCCTCCTTGAAATGTGCTTTGCATAGTCTGAGATTTCTGTTTTACCCGTGCCGTGACTCCAGTCAATGAAGCGTTGGCTGTAGACCACAGACATCGTCATCCCGCGTCTCTCGGCGCCACGGCTGCATCCGAGGAATCAACCATACACCCCAATTCAGAACCTTCCAGAATTAGATTTGAGACTCGGCAAGGCTGTCAAGGATAAACACGTGACGACGTCACCATCATTAGACGGGAGACAAACACACGTGGGGAGAGGCATCCTTGGAATCGCAGTGAGAGACGGAGGGGCCCGTGGACTGGAGAACATACAGCAGGTTCGCGACGTGATCCAAACTGCTTAAAAAAAGAGTGGAAGCCAAGGAATGGAACGCGTCTGATAAGACGTCCCCCAGAGAGATGGAACGATGGAATCAGCTTGCGTGCAGGTGTGCTCGGTGGAGTGTTACATCGCGTGATTGCGACAGATGGTGCTGGCTTTCGGATGTCTTCATTCAGCAGTGGATTGACCATGGCTGATGATGTTGACGAAGCATATCACTTGGTGGAAAGTCAACAGTGGTTGTTCTAATCACGGGAGGATTCTGGTATTGGCTCACGCTCAATGCTCGCGGTAGGATATACACCTTTCGTGTTGTAAAGATGTCTTCAGTTTCAGCGCGGAATGTTTAGCACATATGGAGGCGCGCGCTGGATGGAGGTGGCAAGAGATCGAGAGAAGTGGAAGGCACGGGCGGAGGTCTTTGGCGAGCAGTGGGGACGTTGGAACAGCTCACAGATGACATTGAAATTCTCTCTTTTCACGGAGGGTCCAATGACATCGGGATGTTTGGCCGGCACCAACGCCGTACGCGCCGCACGTGCTCAGCTCTGGCAGGTAACGGGAGAATGCGGAGGAAAACCCGCGCGTGTCCCTTCTACCGTCCGCGCAGAAAACGAAGACGTCTCGAACGGACGAGACGCCGCGGGTGCGGGCTCGGCCGAGTCGGCGCGCCGGGGGGGCAAGGCGGAGCTGGCCGGCGCTCCCCCGGCCTACACCAACGCGGGCTTCGTGGGCGACCCGCCCCCGTACTCCCCCACCGACCACAAGAGCCCCACGCCGCCGCTGCCGCCGCCGCCGTTCTACCCCGGCCCGGGCGGCCCGTCCGGCGAACTCGGCTACGCAGCGTTCCCGCCGGGGCTCTACCCGGGACCGTACCCGGGACCGTACCCGGTGCCTCCTTCCGGCGTCGGCGTGGGCTACCCGATCCAGCAGCAGCAGCCGCCGTACCCCGCCTTCGCTGCGGGGCACACGGTGAGTGCGCAGAGCCTCGCCTGCAAGTCGGTGCCGGCCCCTCGCACGTGTGAGGGTGTCCCCCGGGTGCTCCGGTTTCCTTCCACATGGAAACACTCACTGACTGGCCGGTAACAACTTCATGTATAGGGGACTGCAGAGATGTGGGGTGGGGGGGAATAGAATCAGAATATTTATCCTGGAGGAATCTGATGAGCTTGTGAAGCTTTTTTGCGCAGATGTCCAGTCGGGGCAGGTCAGGACGTTACAACAACAAACAATACAAAAACATAATACAACAAACAATACAGCAGCAAACAATACAACAACATAATACAGCAAACAATACAACAACAAACAATACAACAAACAATACAGCAGCAAACAATACAGCAGCAAACAATACAGCAAACAATACAACAACAAACAATACAACAAACAATACAACAAACAATACAAAAACAAACAATACAGCAGCAAACAATACAGCAAACAATGCAGCAACAAACAATACAGCAACACGATGGGAGTGTGGCTGTAGCCCTGCCCACCACCCGTCTGTGGACTCTCCCCGTGCCTCTCCGAGTTCTTTCTCTTCGCGAGCGAGCACATCCCGTGTGGCGTGTTACAAGTTTAAATTATTATTATCTTTAACTTTGCTGATGACACTGAGAAGGTCGAAACCCATTCAGAGTTTTCTTGCAGAAATGAAAGCTGTTGGATAATAGGCATGGCTTTTCTCCAGGTCCCCCAGTTTCCTGGTGTAAATAAAACAGCATACAGGATCATCATCTTTATTTATACTGGAGGAATCCGATAAGCTATGAAGCTCTTTTACAATGCCATCAGTGTTCGTCAAACATCGCAATGTAACAGGAGCCTCCTGAAAGAACATTTAAACTTAGTGTGGCTTTTCTGAGTAGGGAAGTAATTATTATTATCTTTAAATTGTCTGGAAAGCAAATAGTTTGATGTACCTGTGTGGGGGGGGGGGGGGGGGTGTCAAGTGTAATGGTGGACTCAGCTTGGTCACCAGTGACTTCAAATACAATTTTGGATTATACTGAGAACACACGTTTCAGTTTGACTGTCATGTAACAAACATTTATTTTAGCAGGTTGTTGCGGGAAAGTAACATGCCCCCAAGTGTGTGTGTGTGTAAGAGGCCACTTGAAGGAATTTCAGAATTATTCCTGTGATATCTGCCTCCGCGGGACCATTTCTAGCACTTGACGATGCGCCGCTCTGTACGAGTCCCAAATTATTGCGTGGGGCCTGGTTCGTGTCGCTATTTCTGCCGCAATTCCATCGCCTTTTGATAGAATGATGTCTCATTCTGCCTCACTCTTCAGAAAAAATGAAAAATGTACAAATCCTGCGTGGCCAGTATTTGCACAAAAATGTAATCAATCCGCTGCTGCTGATGGCACAATTGCGCCTGTGCGTTAGCTCTGGAGTGCACAGCTTTTGCTGCTCCAATCCTTCCCCAAGATTATGGAATGGAGGTTCATATGCACAGGAAGATGACTTTGAAGATATCAACGCAAAATAAGATATGATAAATAAAGATGCCGCTGCTTTATTGATTCTTATGAAAGATGAGTTTAGTTTAGTTAAGTTCATTTATTTTTACTTAACCTGGACGGGGCCCATTGAGCTAAACAACAATCTGTCAAGGGTGATGCTGGAAGAGATGATGATGATGCAGTAGCTGCTGATAATGATGGTGACAAAAGTGGTGGTGCTGATGATGATGAAGAGGATGATGGTAATGTAAAATGATGATACATTGATGCTGCTGCAGATGATGATGATGATGATGGTGAGGATGTTGCTGGAACCTTTGTTGCTGTTATTGACCCGGGGTGCAAGAAGGCCAGGAGTGGATGAATCTTATTTTCGTTCACCACCAACTAGGGGGTCAGCGGCCTGCTGTTGGCAGTGTGCTGTTCTCTGCTAATCTGCGCATTGCTGCCACCCAGGTTTGCTGTCTTCTCAACCTTTATTGCTCCGGCTTATCTTTCCCTTTCATCTCGAGCCATACAAACATAATTAGTGTGTAGCCCTTTGTGGGACGGCTGCCTTTGAGTGTACGGTAAATGTGGGGGATTGTTTTGCATTTTGCCCTATGAACCCGCCGACTTGCACTCAATGACGAGCCACACACACATACTTCCGTGATGCCTGTTCTGAGCCGCCTTTAGAGCGACTCAGCCTTTAACCGGTGCCTGGTTTGTTGTGTGCGTTGGACGTAAGGGTTGGTGTATCACTATGGGGTAGGGGCTCTTGTGGGTGGGAGCTGACATTTTAAAGCGCCCGCTCGCAAACCTCCTCGAGGAGGTGCTGACGAGAGCACCGGCACCAAACCGAGGATCAACTCACGCTGGAGGGGACACGGCACGCCGCCCCGTTTCCGTTCTAACCTCACCATTCTAAACTCCCAGTCTCCGTTCTAACCCCCCCGTCTCCGTTCTAACTGCCCCGTCTCCGTTCTAACCGCCCGTTGTCACTTCAAAGGGTGCCGCAGATCTTTGTAAATTCGAGGTCCAAAGCTCAGGCACTGGCACGCCGCTGACCCCCCACCATGCGGGTTTGAGCGGTCAGCGCGAACCCCGCTCCGAGCACGCCGCTCCGCACTCGCAAAGCTGATTAAAGAGGGACGCTTCTTCATGTTCCCCTTCTTGTTTCGTACGGCTGCTGATGTCGACGCAAAGCAACGACAACAACCTCACATTCAGCTGGTCAAGCCCAGACAGCTGCGTCAGCAGCAGCGGAGTAGTGCATCATCATCGCCGTGGTGTCGCCTTCGTGTTTGTGCGGGACATCAATGTCACCGTGGGTTGTTGTCACATCGCCCGGGAGATTCCCTTAATGTCCATTTGGAGGATCCTCTTCCCTCGGGCCCATCTGGCGTGCTGCTTGGCCCTGAGCAGGGCCCAGCTGCTGGGCCCTGCTCAGGGCCGTTGGCGTGGCCTCGTAGCTGTTGTTGTCGCTCTGGAGAGCGGGAGGTCGACTATCCATGTTCAGTCGCCGCGTTGACCGCGTCCGTCATGGTTTCTCACTCAACGGAGTGGGCCGCCTGAAGGCTGCTGCCATCTTCCACTCCCAACGGGACGCTAACCATGGTGGAGAACGGTCTAGCGGCACGCTGGGCTGGCAATGCAGAGGAGGTCGCCGGTCTGATCTCCCGGCGTGCCAGTCGGAACGGTGAAAGTTTCTTAAACCCACCGCCACCGCCTCCGTCCACCCAGCAGCAGCATAATCGGCAGGCATCACCGCAGGGAGTCCATCGACAGCTAGCGTGTGGTGGGGTAGAGTGTGCGTTTACCAAATCTATTCCAAGATGTCTGACCAGCATTGAAGAGGAGGCCAAAATTCACCTGTGAAGCGTCGTGACGGAGAAGCGCGTTGTGTGTGTGTGTTTGCGTGTGTTTGTGTGTGTGGTGCGTGCGTGTGTTTGCGTGTGTTTGCGTGTGTGTGTTTGCGTGTGTTTGTGTGCGTGCGTGTGTTTGCGTGTGTCTGTGTGTGTTTGCGTGTGTGGTGCGTGCGTGTGTTTGCGTGTGTGTGTGTGTGGTGCGTGCGTGTGTTTGCGTGTGTCTGTGTGTGTTTACGTGTGTGTTTGTGTGTGTGGTCCGTGCGTGGTGTTTGTGGGGAGCGGTAGTGTCGGGGTTAGCGCTACGAACCCGACGACTCCAGTACGATTCTCGCTCACGGCCAAAATCAGTGACGATTATCAGAACCGGTCCTGGGCCTCCCTTAGGTCGACTCTGCCTCAAATGGGATGACAAAGGCGGTTGGGCGTGGTGTTGGTCACCCACCTCCTCGTGTGCCGTTCTGCTCTTCATAGGTTATCGCTAACAGCACTTGCCCCAACAGTCTGTTAAGGCTATACGGGGGATCTTTGTTTTTATGTGTGCGTGTGTTTGTGTGTTTGTGTGTGTGTTTGTGTACACCAGCAGTGACGGCCACGGTAATCGTCTCGAGGGCACACGTGCTTAGCGCATGCTTCAGGAGCAACATGCTGCCATTCTAATGAACTAATTAACAAAACTCAACAAAATTCCGTGAATAACGCTGTCATAAAAATATATAATCAGTCACATATCGGGCGATGCTTAGAAGAAGCGCCATTGTATTTGCTTGTTGAAGAGTGTTGATTTTGTTTGTTAATTGTGCTTCGTGCACCACTGACAATGCAGTATCATCACCAACTAATTTGTTTAGCATTGGTGAGGTTCCCAAAATAACTATGATTCAGGAGCAGACGAGATAGGTTTGGACATCTATGGTCACCCTAACATTTCAATTAACACCACCCTGGTCACTTTATTGGCCTCTTGAGTTAGTTCCCACCTGTTGAAACAAAATAACCTTGAAACCTAAACAGAGTTCAACAAGTTGTAACATATTTTAGGACTCGGTAAACTAAAAAAAATGCCCCCTCCCTTGGAAGTTTTATGGCTCGAACCCCATAAGAAATACGGCCAGGATTTGGCTCTCAGTAAATCACCGGTTTACAATTCGCTGTGAACGGGGGACGTGGGGGGCAGTGGCGCTCAGCGGCTCCCCGCCGCCTCGGTGACACGGGGGTGGTGGGTCAAGCAGATCTTGGGAAGCTCCCAAAGCCCCGCGGGAGTTGGCTTGGAGATGGTAGAGTGGGAAGTGGATTCGTGAACACATCTGTGTGGATTCTGTGAGCGATGTCCCCCCCCCCCCCCCCGGTTTGGGGTTGGTTGTGATCGTTTGCTCTCTATGTTGTTTTTGCTCCACGTGTAAAGCACCAGAACGAACAGGTCAACCATCCCAAAAGCAGGCCCCCGAAGTGAGCCTTTCCTAGATTAAATAAGGACTATTATCACGATTATTATCACGATTACATTATATCATGTAGGGTTTAAACCGGTTGAGACAGCACTGAAATAACGCATAATTGTTGCGAGGCAGTTGGCGTTTTATTCATTAAGATCACCAGCTTCTGAGATGAGTGATTACCTTCCCTGGGTTAACGTGACCTCAAATGAGCACTTGGCGGACTGCAATTTACAAGCACAGACCAAGAAGGGGACTTTGGCCACGTCAGCGCTCTGATCAGCCCCGCTCACTCTCGATAACCGACTTAACCTGTAATCTCACTTCTCCACCGAGCAAATAAAACACATACGGTGTTTATATCCCATATAAAGGGATATCTTTAACAGGTGGCTTATCTTACCATGAATGCCTTTAGAATCTTCAACCTCAACACGGCCCTGGCATTTCAGTGGCAATGGCACCCAGCTGTACATGCCCTCTCACAACAATCGATCTTTATTGCGATTTTGGGCCTTTTGAATCAGAATATATATTCATACCGGATGAATCCGATGAGCTGTGACGCTCTTTTTCACAGACATCCAGAAATGAAGTCACCAGAAAGTACTGCACGATTAAATTAATTATATATATACCGTATATAAGACAATTGTAGTGCTCAAAACAACTTTGTAAAGAATAACGAACTCCATTTTTTTCCAATCCATCCGTGCTGTCGACTGACTCCCTGCCCTCTGTTCAAGTCTAAGCTCAAGGCCTTCCTCTTTTCCTGTGTCTACCACATAACGCCTCTTTCTCTCTCTCCAGAAAATACAAAAAAACCCATTCCCGTGCCGTTCCTCTCTGGCAGAGGTGGCCAACCTGTAACAGACTGAGTCAAACAGCACCCAGGAGTTCTGCAGGGAGCCAATTGTATATATATATCTGTATGTGTGTGTGTAGACACAGTTTTCGGCAGAGCACGGGAGACATTCGCTGTTGTTTGCTACGCCTGTGACAGCGGCTCGTTCCACGTGACGCCCCTTCCACAGAGCCGCGTGCGGCGCATTAAAGAGCCGCACGCGGCACGCGGCTCGGGAGACGCCGGACGGCCCCCGCTGCTCTGCAGCGTCTCGATGCGCTGCAGGTTCCCCCACTTGGGTTCCCAAACTTGGGTTGCCACTTGGGCCGGCGACGCAGCTCCGCGTCGCGCGTCGTGAGATGAGTCGAGAGCGCCACGAAGGCAAAGCGGCGCACACGTACACACACACGTACACACACACACGTACACACGTGTGTGTGTGCTCGCTAACAGCACTTGCCCCTACAGTCTGTTAAGGCTATACGGGGGATCTTTGTCTTTGTGTGTGTGCGTGTGTGTATGTGTACGTGTGTATGTGTGTGGTGCTGGCCACCCACCCCCTCGTGTACCGTTCCGGCCTTCATAAGTGCTCGCTAACAGCACTTGCCCCTGCAGTCTGTTAAGGCTATACCGGGGATCTTTATATTTGTGCGTGTGTGCGTACGTTTAACTTCTTTCGCACCGTACATCGCCAACCGCGCTAATGGGAGGTGCGGCTGACGGCTCTCCCCGCCGCCTGTGCCCGTGTCCAGGTGCTGGACCTCAGCGCGCAGGTCCAGGCGCCACCCAAAGACTACCTGCTCGAGTCCATCCTCGTCACGCTCTTCTGCTGCCTGTGCACCGGCTTCTGCGCCATCGTCACCTCCAACGAGGTGGGGAGGGGGGGTGGGGGCTGCACCGGCGCCAATGACGACGACGATGATGACGACGACGACGACGATGACGACAATGATGACGACGACGACGACGATGATGATGACAATGATGACGACGATGACGACAATGACGATGACGACAATGATGACGACGATGACGACGACAATGACGACGATGACGACGACGATGATAATGAATACGACGATGACGATGACGACGACGATGACGACGACGATGATGACGACGGCAATGACAATGATGACGACGACGATGAGTCGCCGGCCATTGCTGGTGACGACGAGAGCCCGCGGAGGCGCAGGACCCCATAGCGCACTGGGCCCCAACGAGACGCAGGGATTCTAGGAATCCACTGGAGCTCCGTGTGGGTGAAAGCGGTGGCAGAGTCGTCTTGCGCACTGCACTACGAACCTGGTGGCCCAAGTTCGATTGCAACTCATGGTTAGCAGGAGCGTTTAATATCTGAAACCGGTTTTAGGCCTCTCCGAGGTTAACTGACCCACCCATGACGACCTGGTGAGGTGGTGTAGACACCAGCACTGGGAAGACAAAGATGCCACACCAGTAGCACTTGCCCAAACAGCCTATGAAGGTTATATGGGGGATATTTGTCTTTGTCTGACCACGTGTCCATGTATTTCCATGTTTTCACGTACCTGGCGTGTGTATATGTCTAATTGTCCATCTGACCACAACTATTACCGTGTCTCTATGCGAGTGGATCGGCCGTGCGTGCTACGGGCTCCGCTCTCTCCTCGTGCGCCGTGCCGGCCTTCGTAGATGCTTAAGAAGAGCACTTGCCCCAACAGTCTGTTAAAGGCTATGTGGGGGATCTTTGTCTTTGTGTGTCGGCATGACCATGCGTATGTGCCCACGATTGTGATCATGTGACCATAGTACCGTTGTGTCCACCTGTTCACGCGTCCACGTGAATGTGCGTGCGGTCTCCACTGTGTCCATGCAGGCATCTGTAGGGACGAGTGTAGTAGTAGAGGGTGTGTGTAGTAGTGGGTGCGTTTAGTAGTAGTAGGTGTGTGTAGTAGTAGTAGGTAACGTGTAGTAGTAGTCGGTGCGTAACCGCTCGCTGTGCGCCGTCTTCCTTCGTGCCCCTCCCTCCCTCCTCCGTAGACGCGCAACGCGTTCCACCGGGGGGACCTGCTGGCGGCGCAGGAGTCGTCGCGACGCACCCGGGCCCTCGTGCTCTTCAGCCTCTCGTTCGGCCTGTGCCTCTGCGTCTGCTGGCTCGCCTTCGTCATCGTGCAGCTCTACATGTGAGCGGTGGCGGGCGACGCGGCCCGGCGCGCCGTGTCCCCTCCAGCGCGAGGGGATCCTCGGTTTGATCCCCAGTGCTCTCGTCAGCACCGCCTCGAGGAGGTTTGAGAGCCGAGGGTTTGAAATGGCAGCTCCAAGCGACACCGTGGCTCTTCACAGAGACCCCACGTCTCCTCACAGAGCCCCCGTGTCTCCATACAGAGCCCCGTGTTTGCTCACAGGCACGCAGTGGCCCCGGCGTGAGATGATTCTCAGTTTGATCTCCAATGCTCTGGTCAGGCCCTGGGAGATTTGAGAGCGGGGTTTTAAAATGGCAGCTGCAAGCGACATCAAGTGTCCTGACAAGGCAGCCCGTGACCCCAGTATGAGGCGATTCTTGGCTTGGAACCGTGGTTCTCTTTAGGACTTTAGCGATGACGTGGCCGAGCGGTAGCGCACTTGCCACTCGTTGCACAGGTTCGAGGTCACGAGCCCCCTTGGCCGCCCTGGTCAATACTACGGCCGGATTAACCAAACGCTACCCATCTTCCACAACACAGGGGGCGTCAGCTCGGTCGTACGTCGAAGGATCCCGCGACGTTATTCCACAAAATGTGCCATTATGTGTCGTTCACGGTCCAAATTTGGCAAATTTGAAGTCCGATTGGAAATTACCCATTTGGGTAAACCCACAGAGACGACACCCCCCTCCTGCTGCAGGCTCTCACTGTCTGTGTGGCACAGCGCCTTCGCGACAGACAGCCGTGCACCGTCGGCGAATACCGCGAGGAGTGAACGTCACCCCTGTGATCTCATTTCTTTGGGAGGTGTGGAGAGCAGCGCTTTAATGGCGGTTCCAGGAAGGGGCTTTTACGACACTGCCCCACATCCTATTGTAGCCCAACACCCCACTCCCTACCGCCATTAAGCGGTCGTATTTGGCCTCTTAGATGCTCTCCGTTTTATACCGATAGCGGCGGCGTGCGGCTGATGTGCTGGCCGCATGCCAATACCTCTGTCGCAATCATTCACCCGCCATCTCTTTAGCCCATTGACAGTGGACGCACTGTGTTTTATAGCTCCAGCAGTGTTTTATGAGGGCTGTGTGTAATGCACCACAGACACAAAGATCCCCGTATAGTCTTCAACGCGATTTTACCCAAAAAAACCCTTTATTATGGATATTGGTCGCGAAAGCCTTCGTGTTAAACGTGAACGGACCCTTGGGGCAAGTGCTGTTAGCGAGCACCTATGAAGGCCAGCAAGGCACACGAGGGGGTGAGTGGCTACCACCACGACATCCGCCTTTGTCTCAACAGTGCTGATATTTCCACACCACAACAGGTCCTCCTTCGAGGTTGAGTAGACCGAGGGGAGGCCCAGGACTCATGTATTCGTCACTGGTGTTGATGGCTGTCAATGGGAATTGAACTTGGGTCGCCGGGTTTGTAGTGCAGCGCGCTAACCGCTAAACTACCACTCACCTCAATATGATACAAGACGATGCAGATCACGACAATTAGACACCAATACAAAGCCAGGCCACGAAAATGAGAGGTTAGGACAATGCCAGGTTGTGACGATTAGAGACCAAGAGAATGCCAGCTCGTGACAATGGGACAACAAGAAGATGCCAGGTCATGTAGGAGCATCAGAGGCCATGTCCCAGTTGGGGCGGCGGTGTCTTCTGCTCCGTAGCGTCGTAGATTTAGTTCCAGTAACAATAGCTGGCTTGCATGACACAATGTCTATACTTTTATGTTTATAATTTAAAACGTGTGAACGGTACAGAATTAATTCACAGCGATTTTCAATGGACGAGTATATGGCACATGATATGATAATGTAGGACTGATGATGCATATAATGTTGCATTGTATAATGTTGCATTGTATAATGTTGCATTGTATAATGTTATTCTAATCGGGTTTGATGTGAACAAACAGCACTTAGCGTGGGTGACGCTTGATATGCATTTGCATAAGGAATGTCTGTTCATTATGAACACATGGGTCGTACAACATTTTGACGTTTGTATTCATACTCGTCATAATCACGCGATCTTAGATAACAGCAACCAAAGATGGTTTAATTATATTAAACGTGTAAGAGAAACGGGTAACTTAAGTCGTTTTTTTTTATGTACGTAGATGATTAGAATGACATGGTGTTCAAGGTTCCCACTACAATGTTATCATGGTCTTTATTTAGACTGGGGGAATCCGATGAGCTGTAAAGCTCTTCTCCACAGATGCCCAGCACGTCTGGACATACACGAAGGGTGCCCAGAAAGTATTGCCCCACGTTGTTTTGCTCGGCCAGAATCCATTGAAGAATAGTGAAACCTACCGTCAGGATGAGCAGATTGATTTGTTTGAAGGCGCATTACAATTCCAATGTGACCCCCTTCGACCCCGACGGCTTTACGCCATCGCGCGAATTCCTTGGCAGTGGCGAATTCGTTTTTGGGCGACCGCCGTCGTCACCTGCCCTCCCCTTCTGTTCACACCACGGCTGTCTCCAGCGGACGTTTTGGGCAGTGAGCGGTGTGCTTCTATTGAACGCGGGTTGTTTTGTTTGAATTATAAACATTTTTGAGTATATTTAAAGCACGTTTTCATGTTTGTGTAATCCCACCATCATCAATAATAATAATAAACACATTCACGAGATGTCAGACGACGATTTCCAGTTGCAGCTCGGAGGCTCGGCAGGGCCAGGCTCATGGTTCGTTCTCATCCGGCCGAGGAACCCGATCCCAGCGGCCTTCACCACCGTCTCGAACACGCAGTGGTGATGTGATGCTGCTCCTGTTGCCCATGTGTTGAAGTATAATGTGTGTTACATAGTAACACACCGTACCGACACGACAAAGTTTGAGTTGCTGTTGGACGTTGCGTATTGTTACCAACTTATGTGGGATACCACAAAAGTACTTTAATTGCCTATTTTTTATCACATTTTAATTAAAGGATACATTGACATTCATTCATGGAAATGTCATGCCATGATCATACGTCACGTGTAGGAAGCCCTCCCTCCTACATGACCGTGCAAGGCCACGCACGCGCGTCACCCTGAGATGACCGCGGACGCTGCTGGGTGGGACTGTGCGTGCCCATCCACCGTACAGCCCAGATCTGGCACTCTCATATTTTCACCTTGTTTGGTTATTTAAAGTTTGACCTACGTGGACTACATGTTGAAAATGATGCTGCAGAACTGCACAGGATGATATTCGCAGACCGCTTAAATGGCACCGATGAATATTGAACTTTTTTTCGCACCTTGACAAAGTCCAAAGGGGTCGGGCGACTTAGATATTAAGGGCCAACACCGCTGATATATTAGTTTTGAATCCAGGTTTCAGCCACGACTTGTGGTTAAACTCGGTTCTTGAGTGTACAAAGTTGATGGTTTCTGCCCGGTCACCAATGACTGCACAAATAAATATCACATTAAACTTGGTTCTACATCCTATTTAGTTAATTTGCAGCTCGCAGAACGATATTCGTTTGACTATCACGCGACAAACATTACTCTGTGTCAAGAGTGGGTGAGAAAATGCTGCCCCCTCGTGCTTACGAGGTCTTTAGAGATTTCAGAAGCAAATCTGTGACGTTTTCTTCCGCAGTCCGTTCTCCAACACAGGGGACTGATGCACGACTCTGTGACTTATCCTCCTGCATGGTCTCATGACACGAACCTGCACCTCCGATTAGCACTGTTGGATACGTATGGTGAATAAGAAGACAATATACACACAGCGCACAATCGGGATAAAGTTGGGAAAAAAGATAAAAAAGCTCAATATTGCTATTCTCTGGGTATTTCGGTAAAGCCACGTAGATAGAAAAAATAATCACAATAATATTGTTCACTTTATCTAGATTCTTTTTTATATCGACGTGGCTTTACCGAAAGACCCAAAGAATACGAATAAAAAATAAATAAAAACCACGTTTCGATCGCAACACAAGCGGTCGTCATCACGATGTGATCGAAACGTCGGAGTTACATTTTTTATTCACTTAATTATTTTTTCTATTTACGTGACTTTACCGAAAGAACCAAAGAATATGAATTACTGCAGTCACGAAAGTTTTAAGTCAATATTGCTGCAGTTAGTTGTTTTGTTTAACCAGATGAGAACTCAAGGGTGTGGGATTTGGTGGTAGGGGGCCCACCTCAGCGCCAGCCCTGTGTGGGAGCGACGTCGTTAGATGAACATCCCCTGGTAGAACTCCTCCAGTCAACATAGCCTCGCACCCAACGGTCTTACCAAAGACGTTTTAACTTTCTTTTGTTTAACAAGGTGCTGGCTCAAGAGACCATAGCTTTCCGCAGTTTCAGGAGTAACTTGGGGGCATAAGTCTGCTAGTAGGGGAGGGCGACTGTTGCCAAGTCGTCCCAGTTGAGTGTTGAGGGCAATTTTCGAATTTAAAATGTGGACGCGCTGCCTCACCGCATTATGCAACCCGGTCACTGGAGCCAGAGCAGCAGAGAATTCCGCGCAGTGCTCGAATCCGTCTCGAGAACAGCCACAAAAGCCAAGGCGGCAGTGCTTTCATTCACACAGTTTATTTTTTGTTTTATATTACTATCGCTTGCACAAAATGTCCTGGAAACATGCACGGCGGGCCGCTCGCAGCGCTGTGGCGTCGCGGCAACGGGCACGGAAGCGAGCGACGTAAGACATCTTCATGGGATGGCGCGGCCTCGATGCGGCCACCCCACACGCGGGGCCGGCAGGGGGCAGGGGGGCGGCAGGGGGCACGAGCGCTCCCGAGAACACCGCGCCACGCCGTGCCGGGGAAGTAGCCCAAAGCAAGCGTGGCCCGTTTCTTGTGACGGCAACTCATCATCTCACCTCCCCCAACTCCACAGCCCGACTTTCCGCAGCAGTGGTACCAAATTTAAGAGCTGCTTCCTTGTATCTGTATGTTAAACTTCTTTCACACCCCAAGTAGCCAAATATGCTCATCGGAGGTGCAGGGGAAGGACAACAAACTCGACTAAATCACTCCATGTAATGCCAATTTCTCAATGACTCGGGCTAGGCCACGTGCTTTTGCGTTTCGTCTCTCAAGCTTTGACCACACACGACTGGGGGTGGTAGTCACCTTCAGGCATCTTCAACTCCTGAAGCCGCTCACAGCAGTGCATGGCGAAAGCGTGAGAGAAACGTTGAACGCGTGAGAGAAACGTTTAGCACGTGCGCTCACGTGGAAGACCATTCTCGGATGATGAATTGGCTGTGATAACCTACGAGCTGCATTGACATTTCTGCATGTCCAGACAGGAACCGTTCTCGAGCGTTCGCCTCTCGTGTGTGGGCGCTGCAGCCTCCTGCCACAGGCAAGAACACTCAACAGGGGATTTGGCCAAACAACTCTGGCAGGTCCCTGCTGAAAAAAAGCCTTGAGACTCAGCGAGGCCTCGATGGATAAAGGATACGAGTCATCTTTATGCCAAGTGGACAAAGCATGGCCATCATGCTTTTGTCAAGGTCACATCTCTCATATTTACACTGGAAGCAACGATGAAATCAAACTGCACAGAGTACCACAGCCCAAACTGCATGAGCCGCATGCATCAACAGCAACTGCAAAATGGGTTTCGCCGTGTCCGGTGAGGAAGGGGTTAAAATTGGCACCACCACTGCCACCACGAACAGAGTGAGAGAGGCTCCAGCCACAGGGGAACGCTGTACACTCATCTCAACAAGCAGCTGTTCAATTATTACATTTTCACATGGCGCACGCAGACACACACACACACACAAAAGTACATTGACACACACGAGTCAGCAATTTACAACAATTCTGAATTGGAGTCATGTAGTGACCTACTTCTGAGCCTGACCTTCACATTCTAAATTGGTCTAGGAATAGTTTCAAACTTCAATAAAAAAAACAGTCTGACCCTCAAACGTCTCGTGAAGCAGCGATAACTTCACAAAGCGGGGCCTCGTTCAGCCAGACGATAGCAACAAGTAAGCAGAGCACTGGAGGTTCCAAAGCGTTTATACCTTCTGCCCGCAGTACCCTGAACATGGAATTAGCTGACAAAGGTAGCAATCCATTAGTTTTTCAAACACCAGCGCTTACAACCTTGGTCCCTGAAGTCAATTCACCTCTGAAAGACTCAGTCCAGACAGTTTTGTACTTTTCTAGGTGAAACAAAAGCATGCGATGGGAACGGAAATCACAAAAAGAAGAAACCAAGCGTTGAAAATGGCAGAACGTCCACCGATGATGTTGGATGTTGATCACACAGATCCGCCAAACTCCAAAACGCGCAGAGTCGCACACTGGCCAGGAGACAGCAGTATAGCAAGTGGGGTTTAGACCTGCCTGCACTAAACTTTATTTCCCTTTAAGGATTGGGTATCTCCAGATACTCATTCCACAGTTGTCAAACGTTCTTTGAATGGAATTGGCCAATCAACCCCAATTCAGGACTCTCCTGAAACAAGAGTCTAGAGACACGGGCAGTACATGGACTATGTTTTTGAAAACCTACTATTAATTGGCTTTTCCTGTAGTCTGATTGGATCTTACTGACGAGTATTATTATAACTGGATTTTTATCAGTGTCTGCATTCTATCCGCAGTGCGAGTGTAGTTGTCATTGTTATTGTCGGGTTTTCCCATATTTCTATCGGATTTTATCGACACTTGCGAGTTCGTTTTCTTCTTCTGTATAGCGCTTTGAGATATTTCGATGTGACAGGTGCTTTGTAAAATAAATAATATTCTTGTTATTATGTTTCTGCAGCCAGAGCGGAGGGGGTGGGGACCCTGCAAATCACTTCACAGTGTAAAGTATGGCGGGAGGAATATGAACACTTTGGTGCCGATTCCCACGCGCGGAGGAGTGTACTTTTAAGCATCTCTACCAAGATAACGACAAGACTCCAGCGAAAGGAGTAGGCAGAAACGATTGAAGTCTACGCTTGAATTTTAAATGTGGGAGCGCAACTTGAAAAAACAAAAACACAATGCACTAAATAGAAGCGCACACTCAGCCTCAGAGGCGTGTGTGCGTGCAAACCCCGGTATTTAGAAAATTTGGCTTAGTCTGCTAAACATTTAAGGAGAATCCAGTTGATGCGACTGGCATCGTTCGGAACGGATCACCGAGTAGGTCTGGCCTTAAATGTCAATAGCGCTCTGTAGTTAAAAAGAGAACTTAGTTTTCTGGTAACACTCCTGTAATGTCGCCATTTGCTACGCGTAATGCGACTCCTCTTGCGTGCCAACGCGACCCCATTACACACGCGCTTTGTGACGCAAGCTGGAATTTTTTTATCAAATTATTGTCGCCCCCCCGCTCACCGCTTTGTGACCTGGGTAGTGGCACTCATCACCCCCCCCCGCTCCCCTGAGGAGCCCTGCCACTGCTGAGAGGGCAACAGAGACACGCGCCGGTTCCATGGCTTGAGGGTTGCTCAATACACAACACTCCAAGGTTTTCTTGGGGAAATTGATTTAAAAACGCATTCAATCAAAATTAAAGTGTCCACTTGGTCCAGAAAATGAATGGCGCCCATGAAACCAGACGTGCATGGCAACACAACGTATACACCCAAACAAGGAGAGAGTTCATAAAAATGAAAGACTTTTAAATGTAGTCCTAGACCGACTTCTAAATTACACACAGACACTGCACATGGGCAAAACGTTTATGCTCAGTATTCCAAGAAAGCAGCCGGAATTTTTTGTTGTAAATGGTTGCAATGACGATCGTTCAATCTCAGTCTGGCATTCGCTTCAAATCATTTGTCACCTTCTGGCCTGAAACTAAAACAACCCGAACCGACTTGGAGATTCCAAATGAATAAGAGCCGCGTGTGAAAAAACACATTCTCTTTTGAACGGACAAACAAAACTGAACAGAGAAATGGGGACGCGCGCATGGAGGAGGCCGACTGCTCAGCGGAGACCCGGGCAGCGGAGGCACCTCCAGAGAGCCTTCAAGCCTGCACGGTGTGCACTCAATTAAGCAGCTCAAGGTACGTGACCGGAACTTTTCCTTTCTGGTTCCCGCGTTCCCCCATCAGCCAATCCGAGTCCATCCCCGGCAGACTGTACACCGTGACCACCTGCGGAAAGATAACCACAGAAAAACCACGAGGGATGTTTAGACTCGAGATGCCTGAAGGCGATCCGGCAGACTCGGCGTTCAAGAAGCCGGGGCTTCGCAGTTCGGTTCTGGCTTGGCACGGTAAGAAGCCAACGGCAACCCAAATAGGCCGCAGAAATGCGGGGGGGCCCTGTGCTGGCTCAGCTCGGATGTGCCGGTGGGACAGAAGCCAATGCTTGAGCCAGCACCTCGGAGATCCTGGCCTCGGGACACAAGCACAGACATCAGCACCGAGACGCACGTGCCGACTGCCCTGCCCACTCACCTCGTCGGCGAGCAGCAGAGCCCGCTCACCCCGTTGGGGAGAGCCCGCTCACCC